AATAACGAAGTGTATCCTTTTTTTTTTTTTTGCACTTTTTATTTCGGCATATTATGGGGGTACAGATTTTAAGGTTTCAATAAATGCCCATTTCCCCTCCCCCCACAAGTCTGAGTCTCCAGCATGACCATCCCCAGATGGTGCACATCTCACTCATTAGTATGTATATACTGCCCCCTCCCACATGCCCAATACCCTATTACTGTAGTACCTATGTGTCCCCTTAGGTGCGCTCAGTTAATACCAATTTGCTGGTGAGTATATGTGGTGCTTGTTTTTCCATTCTTGGGAAACTTCACTTAGTAGTATGGGTTCCAGCTCTAACCAGGAAAATATAAGATGTGCTATATCACCATTGTTTCTTAGAGCTGAATAGTACTCCATGGTATACATATACCACATTTTATTAATCCATTCTTGGATTGATGGGCACTTGGGCGTTTCCACAGCCTTGCAATTATGAATTGTGCTGCTATAAAACATTCGAGTGCAGGTGTCTTTTTTGTAGAGTGTCATTGGATCATTTGGGTAGATGCCCGCAATGGGATTGCTGGATCAAATGGTAGATTCACTTGTATCACTTAAGGTACCTCCATATTGCTTCCACAGAGGTTGAACTAGTTTGCAGTTCCACCAGCAGTGTAGGAGTGTTCCTCTCTCTCCGCATCCACGCCAGCATCTATTGTTTGGAGACTTTTTGATAAAGGCCATTCTCACTGGAGTTAAGTGATATCTCATTGTGGTTTTGATTTGCATTTCCCTGATGATTAGAGATGTGAGCATTTTTTCATATGTTTGTTGCCATTCTTCTGTCTTCTCTAGAAAAGTTTCTGTTCAAGTCCTTTGCCCACTTTTTAATAGGGTTATTTGATTTTTTCTTGGTGATTTTCGTTGAGTTCTAAGTATATTCTAGTTATCAGCCCCTTATCGGATGCGTAGGATGCAAAAATTTTCTCCCATTCTGTAGGTTGTCTGTTTACTTTCATGACTATTTCTTTGGCTGTGCAGAAGCTTTGAAGTGTATCCTTTTAAAGGATTTTCTCTTTTGGGGTGTTTGTCAGTGGGATTCTATGCCCAAGATGAAAAAAAATGAGATGGAAAGTAAACAGACCTAGTGGACCTAGTGGGTAGGGCTGAGTAGAGTTGGTGATTGGCTGAATGACCTCCAAATTCCCACACTTTGGAGATCACTGTAGATCCCAGTATTCCGTAATTGTTTTCTTGAGCTCTATCTACCCTATGGACCCTGGAGCAGATCTGTAGGGATCTGAGAGTTCAGCAGAGGCAAGGATAACCTGGGGATCTTTTCTCCTGGCTCAGACAACAGCAAAAGGAAAACTTAAGAGATGATTGCTCCCCTAACACCAATCCAGAAGAGACTGAATAAACTGAGTGAGCTTAGACTAGGACCACTGCTGGGAAACCTGATAAGAATTGGCCTTGCCCATATGAGTATAAAAATGGAATACAGAGTCATGGGATCTACTAGAATCCAGTAGCCAGAAAAACTATGCACCCTGGGAACTGAAAACAGGACCATGTGTTGAAAACCAACTTTTCTAGGAGAGAGTCCTCTCAGAGGGGTAAGCATGTCCCATAGTCATCTTCTGGAAATGTGCCTGGCACTACAAGCTTGGGACTGAAGCAGTGGTCTTGGTATCTCTGCTTAGCTTCCTAGCTATCTTTCCTATTGGGATAACAGAACCGATAAAGACTGATTTCTTTTTAATCAACAATTAATGGAGGGGGCAGCATATCTAGCTAAGAAACATTATGGGGTTTGGATTGATAAGGATGGTTGAAACCAGATTCAGTGTGGCTAGCCCAGAGCCACAATCCTCATGAAGACTGCTCCAGAGGAAGGGAATTCATGGAAAATATTGGACTCATTGCAAAATATTCTAATTTCAATTCACTTCATAATCTGGATGTGTGTATATAGTGGTTTATATACTTAATGACTACTTTAGCTCTGACTGATGTAGAAGATCTTTAACTTATGAGAGCTGAGATTTCTAGGTGCCTCTTCTCTATAGAAGGAAGAAAAATTCAGAGGCTTGAGCTGAGTATTGAGACACAAAGAAACATGAGACACTACACATGGTATAGTTAAGGAGCTCTCCTCTCTACAGAAGGAAAAGCGTTACCAGCCTTGGGACAGGGCCTGGGGACTGGAGCTCCAGAATCTTAGGATTTCCCAAAAGAAGGCAGAGCATGCCACTGCCAAAGGTAGATTTGTGGAATGGCAGGGCCACAGGGTAATTTCAGACTCGGCAGCAGTAGGCTGGGTCCACGGTGGGGGGATGGAGTGTCTGAGTTTTTTCTTTGCTCATTTGATAAAAGAGAAGGTAAAAGGGTGGCAGAGGGGGGTGAAATGTGGTTGTCATAGAACCACATGAAACAGCTGAAGCATGCACTTTTGGAGAGCTGGTCATTTTCTTTTAAGGCTGGGATCAGAACATCAGGAACTGTTCTGTTGAATTTGAGAAAACTGGCACTCTTTTCACTCTAATGGAGTGATTCTCCGGTGTCACTTCAGAAAACCATGTAGACAAAGAGAAGGAAAGATATAGGAGTGTCATAAAGCAACAAGATAAGAAAGTATGAGGAAAGGGAGAAGCTGTCAGACAATGGGTATATAAGAGGGGTTCTAGTTTTACCTCTTATTGAGTAACACCTTTGGGAATACTGACAGGATACCTAGAAGATAGGAATCATCTGGGAACATTGAGCTGATAAGTGTCAACACTGGTGGGTTGATTTCTGAGCACGAGTAGGAATATAAGGACAAAAGCTGCGGTGTTCGACAGGGAGTCCTCTTCAGTTTACAGGGAAAGAGTTTCTTAATTGGGCTAAGAATTGGGTCCTGGGATTGCCTCTTTAAAATAGTATCCTTTAGTCCAAAGAGCCAGGTGGGGCCAACATTTGTGAGAACTAAACCCTGAGAAGTGTTGGCCCTCATACTACTGATAACAGCAGTAGTGTAAAGAAACTACTGAGTAATGTAGAGTCAAAGTGTGGTAAGACAAAATGTGGGTGACCAATCTTAGTTAACAGGAACAAGCCAGAAAATGTTGGTTCCTTTGTTGATGATAATTGGAAGTGATTTAGGTAACTATGGAGGGGCCTACAATGAAATATTTGGTAAGATAAAACTAGACAACCTTTATCCATAGGGAAAAACCTAGTTGTGTCCACATCAAATGAGCAACAGGGTGTGAGAAAAAGGTTGGTCCCTTTGTTGATGATAAATGGAAGAGCTTTAAGGCAACTAATGAGATTGGAATCAAATAGTAGGCAAAACTTGGGTGGCCAGTTATTCATAGGAACCAGCTAGTATGCACACAGGGTAAGGGTCTTCGACCCTGAAAACGTTAGTTCCTTTGTTGATGGTAATGGGAAAAGCTTTATGGTGACTACAGAAGAAGCTAAATTGGGTTAGGAAAAATCTAGATGGCCCATTTGGATTCAGAAGGACAAGGTCGGAAAAGAACTAATTTCTTCAACCTATTGAGCCAGTGGGCCCTACCCCTGCCCCTGCCATTGGTCAAATGATGTTTTCCATGTGGTCTGATTCTTATAGTTAAAAAAAAATTTTTTTAAGATAATAGGTTGAGACATACCATGAGTTCATCATACAGAAAGAAGCTTCAAACAAATGGAGTTGATATTGAAAATAAAAAAGAAACGGAGATGTAGGGAGAAAAAAGAAAAAGTAAGATTAGTGGTATTGAAAATGAAATGAGAAAGGGCAAGGAGACAAGAGAAAACGAGTGTCAGACATGGAAGAGTGCCAAAGAAATAAAAATAAATTTCTTTTTCATTAACTCCTGCCTGCCTTTCTTTTTTCCCTCTTTTCACAATCATGGAATGCCTGCCATGTGTCAAACTAAGTATTGGAGATAAACTATAAATAAGACTCACTCTTTGCTCTGTGGGTCACTGCTTGGGACTAACGCTTGGAGAGTACAACAGTAAACTGCTAGTCAGAGGGACATTGAACTTCTGAGAGGAATTAAGAAGGGATGGCAGGCCCAGCACGGTGGCTCATGCCTGTAATCCCAGCATTCTGGGAGGCTGAGGCAGGTGGATCGCTCAAGGTCAGGAGTTCAAAACCAGCTTGAGCAAGAGCGAGACCCGGTCTCTACTAAAAATAGAAAGAAATTAATTGGCCAACTAAAAATATATAGAGAAAAATTTAGCCAGACATGGTGGCGCATGCCTATAGTCCCAGCTACTCGGGAGGCTGAGGCAGAAGGATCACTTGAGCCCAGGAGTTTGAGGTTGCTGTGAGCTAGGCTGATGCCACGGCACTCACTCTAGCCTGGATTCTGTCTCAAAAAAAAAAGAAGGAATGCCAGAGAGTGAGGAGCAATCATACAGCCAAGGATTTAACTATCAGGGATTTCATCCCTGATGAAGATGGGAAAGTGAGCCTGATAAGTAGAAGTGTCAAGGTGAGCAGGGCAGATGGGCAGCTATGAGAGCCACATCCCAGGGCCTAGAGGCTCTGAAGGGCCAGTCTTGATTCCTACCACACACCCTGAGGTCAACTTGCCAGTAGCTGCCATTCCTAGGGTAAAAATGCTGAACTGCCTGTGCTCAAAGACCTGGCCATTAACCTTCCAGGCATTACAAGTGCAAATGACTCAGGTCATCCCACATCTAGTGGCTTGGGAGGCCCAGGAAGCCTTTACACATGGGGAAGTTCAAGAGGATCACTGGGACACCATAGGGTGTAGGTGTCAGGACAGAGATTCCATACCCATACTTAAGTTTGGGTTTAGACTAGGCCAGCTGGAGCATCACCAAACCCCAGCCTGGAACAAAGTGAAGCAGGTACACATATTATATGGAATTTTCAAATGGGTTGAAAAAAGTCCATTTTTTTAAGCATTACCAGATCAGATAAAGTTATTCTTTACTATATTATTCATTGATGTTCTGCTTCCAAAAGGCTTTTAAAGTAGCTTTTTATTGTTCTCATTTTCATTTAATAGGGAGGAAAGCTCCAAGAGAAAGAGAGAGGGGCAAGTAAATTTTGATGGGAGAAAATGCAGCAATAAATCTGAAGTATTAACATACAATGGAAGACCTTCATAAGTTACAAGCCACTGGAGAAGAGAAGCGTGTGTACCAGAACACTGCTCAGATGGAGGAGTGGGAAAAAGATCTTCAAGAGGAAGACATTTTTTCTTCAGTTTTGCAATATTCTATCCACCTACACAAAAGCCAAGAAACATTGCATGCCTAGTGTGGACTTCAAAAATAATATAGAAATGGAAATAATAATTCTCTTAAAAGCTCCATTATACAGAATACAGAGTAAAATGTTCATGCTCAATTCCTCTCCCCTTTCCACTCACCTACCCCAAAGATAACTACTTTAGAAAGTTTATAGTTTTTCTATGTATTTACATATTTTTCAAATATAAATGATTACATATTTACATTATCAGCCCATAAAGCTTTTTTTCTCTTTAAACAGCTACATGTATACTAGATTATACATGAACCCTATTTGGCCACCCTCCTTTGGATGGACAATGGAGGTTTGCTATCTGTATTATTAAAAACATTCTTCCATGATCATCCTTTTTTAAGTCAAAGCCCTGTATGTCCATGAATCACTACATAAACTTAAGAAAGGAAGACAAATAATTAAAGTTAACTTAATGAATAGTTTTCCTTTATAAAGAGAATTGTGAAATGTACCAATGGAATTAAGACCGAATTAAAACACACTTTTCAATAAATATATGAAAGTATTTTTCAAAGTAGACATCACTTCTCTAATATGCATAAGGAAGACAGTTTATAAAGGGAGAAATATTCTGATCTTGAACCTGGATCAAAAAAAAAAAAAGAAGAAAGAAAGGGAGAAATAGGAAAGAGACAGATAAAATCTTTATGCTTTCCAAAGCTCAGTAACACAGTATTAATACATTTGTCAATACATTTTCTAAAACAAAGCATCTCAGCTTTTGAAAGTTCAAAAATATTGATTTGGGTAAATTTGCCAAGTTTAAGAATTTGCCAAGTTTAAGAATTATTACTTAAAATATAGTGGCAGAAACTTTCTTCAGATCCTCTAATTTCTTAATTTCCAGCGAAAAAAATATTAGCTCTGTAGACTACACAGATTTTAGGAACCAGAAGTTAAATTTCATAGAATAATACCCTTGTCCTACAATCCCCTAACTTCTAGAATATTGTTACAAAATACTTTTGAAAGTACATTACATTTTTTATCCATATATATGTGGGTCAACTTATATTAAGTCAAGGCAGAGATCAGATATAGGGGATAGTTCATCTTCTTTTCCCTGCTCCTACAGTAAAAGTCGCCAAACTTGCAATTCTTTTAAGACTGTATCTATGAAAAATGTGCAGTATCCAGTGATCAAGGAGCTGAGGATCTGAATTTAATTATTAATCTGGAAAATAACTTGACATTAACAACCATCTTCACTCCTCAGATGCTGAAAGACTCAGAAGCATGGTTTCAAAGCACAGAAAAGGTCGCAGACACAGTATGGCCTCAATTAGCTTGTTAAATCTTTCAGTCCTTTTTATGTATATTTATTTAACCAATACTTATAACTTTCTATAGCTCAGGCTTGATTCTAAAGGCTTTGCACTTAGTGCCTGTTTCTTGTCTGCAAACTGAAGATAATAATAATGATATCCAATTCATAGAGTTGTGAGGTTATATGAGGTTAAGTAAATTTGCCCGAGGCCATATGTCAACCAGATGGTAGAGTCATTTAGCCATGCTTCAGCTCTGTTACAGCTGGTTTCACCCTATTTCCCTTAACTACTGGTGCACTCAGTCTCACAAGTTTACTGCAGTGCATCATAGAGGTGAGATGGGACCTAAAAGCCCTATCCTATCCCATCTTTACTAGCCTTCAATTTTCTAGCATTTGTTCTTCAAGAGCGCTCAGTTGCAATTTTTGATTTAGAAAAATATTTTAAATATTCACTTAAATATTGATTTAAAATCTCATCATGAATACCAAACCTAAAAGAGTTAGTAGGGCCAGAAGAAGAAACTAAGGAATTTTAATAATTGAGAAATTATAAGAGTTTCTTCTCCTTAACTTTCATTTGACAGCAAAATTTGACATTTGGGATAAAAAAAAGTTTCATCAAGCTTAGGTTGATTTGGATGAATTGTAAGCCAGTTTGTGTTTTTTATAAATTTTCCCAACTGTGTAACTATTAACATGTTAATTAGTAACAGTGACCCAATATTAAAGTCAAGAAACTAACCAAAGATAAAACATGTCAGAACATGTCTTTACGTATATGCCTCCCCTACACACACACCCATTCCTCCTCATGTGCACCTTTCAAGAGTCACTGTTTACTTTCTATGGAATGGACATTCATTGTGGATAAACCATGAAAACATCATGCTTGGTGAAAGCAGTCACAAAAGACTACATATTGTCCAATTCCGTTTACGTGAAATGTCCAGAATAGACAAATCCACAGAGAAAGAAAGCAGATTAGTGGTTGCCTAGGGAAGGGGAATTTGTGGGGGGAAATTGGGAGTGACCACCAATGGGTACAGAGTTTCTTTTTTGGGGTGATGAAAATGTCCTACAGTTGTGACAATGGTTATACAACTCTGAATATACTTGAAACCACTGAATTGTACACTCTAAATGAGTGGGTTCTATGATATATGAATTCTATCATAAAACTATTAAAAAGAAAAAAAATGAATTGAGGTACATTCAACAAAATACCTGACCAGTATGCTCAAAACTGTCAAAAGTAATCAAAAACAAGTCTTAAAAATTGTCACAGACAAGAAGAGGCTGAGGAGACATAACAACTAAATGTAATTTGGTAACCTGGATGAGATCCTGGAACAGAAAAAGGACATTAGGGAAAATCTAGTGAACTATGAATAAGATGTGCTTACTTTACTCATGCACCAATGTTGTTGGTTCCTTAGTTGTGATAAATGTACCAAATAGTAATGCACCAGGTCTGTCTGACTCCACAGTTCATGTTTTTAACCACTAAACCACCAAACCACCATGCCTCTCTGTAATCCTAATTATGGGAGCTTATCCTTGTTCCTGCTTGGATGCTGCTTCAGTCTGGGATCACCTCTTATACTGAAGTTTGGATTCATGGACATTTTGGGCTAGGGATAGTCTAAAGCCAAGTTAGGTAACCTCACCCTGGCACTCATGTTGGAGGCTTATCGCTGTTTTATTCTGGCCTCTCACAGAGATCCCAGGATGCTTCATCAAAAAGCCACATGAGTTAAAAAAAAGAGACATCACTTCCTTCATAGCTCTGCCAAGAGATAGATTAAAATATAAAGCAGAATCAAAGTACCTGAGAACCATGTTATGATTCTCTTCTGTTTGACTATTATGAGATGACTGAATATGCGAGTGGGCATTCAAATGTTGATTAAATAAACATTTTGAAGGTATTAAATTTGTCTTTGCTTCACACACTGTAAGATTGAAAAATCAGTCACTATGATCTGATACCGGTTAGCTTGAAGGATGAAGAAAAGCTCTTGCATGTGGTGGTTTTCTCAATAAAAACTCTGGTCTTGCTTTCTAAGACAGCAGAATGGATTTCTTATTTTTAAACTAAACTTGACAGGGGGCAGGGGCACATAAATGACACTGCAATGACCCAAGACATAGGCAAGCATGACCAGTGGGAAGAGGCACCTGCTTTCAAGCATGGCGGGAGGGGCCTGGCTCTGTCTTACAATTAGGGTCTTCAGGGCAGACAGGTAGTCTGATGTAGTGGGAAGTGCGCCCAAACAGGAGTCCCAGCATGGGAGTTCTCCAGGCAGCTCCAGCTTTAACCTGCTTTGCAACCTTTCCACTACTGGAGTCTTTGTTGCCCAATGGGATAAAATAAAACTTTTTTCCAGGGTCCTTACCCATTCTCATCTTCTAGAAATCTGAACGAACTAGATAGAGATCAGCCTCAAATAGCCTTGAGGCCAATAGTATTTCCTCCTCCACTCAACCTCTCTCTAGGCTGAAGTTTTCAAGAAATAAAATTACCTACAGTCATTCTTCGGTATACAGGGGGTGTTGGTTCCAGGACCCCCATATATACCAAAATCTGTGAATGAAGAGTTTTGTGCCTCACTGAGGTGCTGGGAGGAGAGAGAAGCTGAAGATCTGGGAAGTGTTTAGCCCCTGTTGTGTAAAGACGACTCTTACGTAAACCTTATTTCTGAACAATTAGGCCAGGATGATGGATTTTAGTAGCTCAGGGTTCCACTGCCTAAACTGCAAAACTGAACTAAGAGTTTTCCCTCTGTCACTCAACTTTAACACTTGAAGCCTCATTTTGTTCATTTATTGTCAACTATAAATTGCATAATCTGTGGATCTCTCGTTGCCTTCTGGCTTGGTTCTTTTGGGTACTAATGCCAAGTTCCTGCCCATCAAAGGAGTCATGATTAGGATCCACCAGCCCCACACCCTGTACTCTAGTGCCCCAAGTGATTATGTTTGAGCCTCCCAGGGAGAACATAGCTCCTACCATTCCTCTTTGGTGCTAAAAGGACCTAGAGAAAATTTTTACATTTTATACAACAGTCTTCTTCTGAGATTCTGGGTAGAGAAATGATACAAAGGTGAAAATACAAAGAGCTATGCTTCTTTAGGAAGTTTTTTATTGTAAGTTCAACTTAGTTCCAAACTACTGTGAGCAGTGCTGATTCCCTCTGCCTTACTGAACATCTCTAAACTCTAAAAACAAAGGATGGCCATCACTATGTACTTAACAGAAAAAAATTTTTAAAAACCATATGCAGTGACCATTCCCCCTTGTTTTACATAGAAAAATCAATATAGTAACAAATCTGAAATTGCACCTTTGGCATTTTCTAAATCCAGTAACTTAAAATATTTGCTTCTATTATATAGTATAAAAAGTATAAGATTGTTTTAAGTCTCTGTAGTAACAGCAGTTACCTGATAAAGTAGGCTTCAAAGTAAGTATGCATCAAACTTGGCTCTAGGCACATTCTATACATGTTATGTAATATATGGTATGTCTGTTTCTCTACTTCTAGGAAGATGCAACAAGAGTCTTCAATATATTTTTGTAAAATATTCCAACTCTTAAATGCCAAAAGAAAAGATAACTCGATATTAAGGACACAAATGATATACCCCTCAAAGTTAAGAAAAACTAAGAAAAAAAAAACTTAATACTCAGACATCATGGTTCTCAAAGTACGCAGCAAGGCACCCCAAGCCACTGCAAGAAATTCACAGAAACAAGCTGAACTACTAGCTCAAAGGAGGTCAGTTTCAACACAGGATCATGTTCCATTACTTTCAAGATGTCATATCTTTGCAAAGCTGAGTTCATGGCCACTGTGATAAAACATCAAGTACTGTGCAAAACTCAGCATGGAACATGAGGATGGCAAGTATTTTGATAAGCTATACAGTATTAACCATTAGTAGTTAACTTTAGTTTTTAAAATCAAAGCAATTTCTTTCACCTATGTATAATCTTTTTTCAAACAGCTACTATGTTGTTAGAACATACTTTTTAAGTTGTTTGAACATAACTAAGTATCTAATAAATGCAACTATTAGTTATTTTGGCTTAATGGAGCTATAAAAAAATTACAAAGAGAATTGTAAAAGCTGAAAGTTTGGGAACCTGTGTAACTAAATTCGCATCAAGTTCTTTAAAGCCTGACCAGAAAATGGAAAAAAAAGTAAAAAAGATAATCAAAACGTTTCTTAACTCAAGGTGAATTCTTAAATTCTCTTTAAGCAAAAATCTGATAGAAAACAGCTAGGAAAGCAGCATAAGTATTTGATATTTTAGAATATAAATACTCCAAGCTATCTCATTATTTAAAAATCTCTGGTACTTATTACCAACTTTTTGGAAATCCAATGTGTTTAATGGTTAACTCAGTCATAAAGATCATTCTAATCTTGAATCTCAGTAACAGAACATTGGGGTGTTAATGGCACTATTCTGTGTATGCTTGAAATTTTTCACAATTTTTAAGAGCACTGAACACACAATGTCATATATATATAATCTTGGTACTCACCCAACCCAAAATAAGCACTATAAATTAGTTCACTAATTACATCCTCACCACCCACAATGAAATAAGAAATGCAGAAGATGAAATTTTCTTTACACTTTTTAGTCCACTGAAATGTTTTCCTTAGAGCAAATATGTTAATGCACGTAACATCTTGACAAAAGAACTATCCATATTTATTTAGACACATCAAGTGGGAATGTTAAAAAAAAAAAAAATGTCAGCGAAAACTTTTAAAGACTGGGTCTCACTCTGTTGCCTAAGCTAAAGTGCAGTGGTGTGATCATAGTTCA